CCCGATGGGCCCCATGCCCTGCGCCCTCGCCGTGACGCAGTGGCCGAGCGGAAGGGCCGCTCGGTGCCACCCGCGGCCAGAGCTTCAGCAGCTTCCCAGGCTCCCAGCACCGACCCCCTAGGGCAAGCAGCACAAACCTCCTCCAAGGAAAATGCTGCCACAACCCTCCCAGTGCAGGACAGGCACTGGGGGCTCTTTAGGGGCTGCACCCCCCATGCTCTGCACCCTTCTGTAGGAGGACAGGCCCATGGAGCGGGCCCCGCACCCTGCGGCCGACCCCTCGCACGTCTCCTGAGCTATTTACACCCAGACAGATGCCTCTGGACTTTCCCTTCGATTCAGACCACTTCCCCAAAGCGGAGGGCCCAAGTGAGGAGAGGCTCCGGACAGCAGCAGAAGAAGGAACCGCGCAGCTCTCCGAGCACTCTGCTATGAGTCACGGAGCGGGGTCCTATCTCGTTTCCCTCTGCTGGAGGGTTTCACCTCGGTGGAGGTGGAAGGGGACGTAGGGCTGCACCAGGCCCCGTGTCCCAGCACGCAGCAGGTCTGCCTGGGATAAAGACTCCTGGAGCAGCTCCCGGACCAGGGGTAATTCCCCAGGCAGGGAGTGAAAGCAGAGCAGGGGCGAGCCGGGATGACGGCAGCACCCAGCAAGGGAGGCATTCCAGGGCTCCCACTTCCCTCCTACCCCAGACCCACAGGGAGGACAGAGCCTCCCGTTGTCATTGCGGAGGCTACAGGCAAAGTACGGAGTAGCCCAGCGTGTCCCCAGTTGGGACAGAGACCCAGAGCAGCACGAGGCCAGCGGGGAGGCTCCCCAGTACTGGGGACAAGGGGGTGAGGGACCCAAGAGGCTGGTGGCCTCCAGTGAGCAGACAGGGACCCTGCCCAGGTCCTCCCCATCATCCCCGTCCCACCGCATCGCAGGGGTTGGCGAGCGTGCGGCCACGCGTGCCGGTGTCGAAGATGATTCCATGGAGCCGGGAACAAAGAAACTCCCAAGTTGAGGCTGCAGCGCACGACGTGGCCGCCGGGCCCCGCAAGGACCGCGCGCCCGGCGCTGGC